TGCCTGAGATGCAACATCAACAGAAGGAAAAAAAAACCCCAAGGGTTAACCCTATATACGAATAGCAGTCGAGGTCCATCACTTGACCTGTATTGGTCAGAGGACACTGAGCCCAGACAAACCTCACACCTGTCATAATGAGAGCTCTACAGGGAAAGGGCTGTACCTTATTGGTGGAGTATATGCAGAAGGCCCTGGGGGCAATCTCCAGCCTCTGGGGGAAAGACCCTTGCCACTATGCCTGTAAACTTGGGATTCAGAAGCAGGATTTAAAAAAGGAGATGGGCCTACGGAGGCCACAACTGGAGAGCCAATCAAAACCTGTCCATCCCCACATCTGGTGATGTAATATGCATTAAAGCCTTGAGTGGCGAAGGGAAGCTATTTGTGACTGTGTGGCCATTAATAACTTTCCTCCAGCCCCTCAATTTCACACCCAAACAGACTTCCTATTGTATTCAGAGACACTTGCTGGCTGTTTCGGAGGAGTGGTGCTTGGGGACATCTACCAGCTGGGGAATCCGGGGCTTGCCTTTCAAACGCTTGACATCCTACCACAAAACAACCTGCTGGCATCAGATGCTACTGAAGAGCGAGTGACAGGAGATACCTGAGCTGTCAGCTCCTGGATAAAGTATAGAAGTAGCGCTTCACACAATACATGAAGCCCTGAGGTGAGGCCGGCGGGTGGGTATCAAATGGGGACTCCCACCTTACGAGGCCCAATGCCTTATTTCCTACACTGGTGTGCCGTTTCCTCTGCAAAACCCAGCAGACCAGAGTTCTTCCACCTTGGGTCCCTAAATATCACAACTCCCACTATCCCTGACCACTGGCTGAGCTGGCTGAAGCAGATGGGAGTCCAACCACATCTTGGGAGACAAAGTTGAAGAACTCGGCAGTAGACTGGGTTGTTTGCTTTGAGGGCACCACCAAGGCTGCAGGACCAGCCTGCTAGAGAACCTGGTCAGCTGGCCACCCCTGTCCCCAGCCAGCTAGGTCCTATAAACCCCCAGCCTCAGCCCTTCCTCCTCAGACTGTGTCGTTTGTCTCATGTGTGAAGACTCAGCCAAAGTTCGTGTTTCCTTGGACCCTCTCTGGTTTTGAATATCCATCTGCCCTTGGTCACCCTGATCCTCCACTGTAGCTTTTCCTGCATTTGATCTCACCTATTCTGGACCATGTAGTGTTGTGGCTGGTTCAACTGGACTGACAACCAACCCAGCCCAGTTCTACAGACTGGCTGCCTATTGGCCTATACCTTGTCAATGCTGATGCACGACATGATGAATTGCTCTGGATTTGTCGTCACCAGTCCTGTATTGCGTTTGATGTGTACGTTGTAATCACCCATATTTTCTCCAGCTCCTTCCTCTCCTATTTACAGTTCTGCTTTTAACACTTGGGGGGGGGGGGATGTAACGTACGATGAGCGAATCTGTCAGTTTCCATTTCTCTCAGTTCCTTGGTTTTCTAAAGTTTCGCTTCCCCCTTCTCGACCTCTGTTTACCAACTTCATTGCAAAAGCCTGCATGGAAAATCCTAATTGTGGGTGCATTTTGCATATGATGTGCATTTTGGCAAACATGTTTCTCCAGTGTAATGCGTTTCTGCCATGATTTTCCCTAACTGGGGGCACACTTCCCCTTCATATAAAAAATTCATTATTACTACTACTAGAGAACTGCATCACAAAATTCATAGAAGGGTGAATCTTGAAGGGCGGCTGCATTTGGGTTGGCATGTTGGTTTGAAAAAAATGCTAATTAGGGAGCTTTGCATGAAAACGTGATCCAAACTAATCCTGCCCACCCCCCCACATCTATACTACGAGGAGACACTTCACCAACTGGACATACACTGAATTCTACCTAAAGAATCGAATAGAGGCGCTTGGCCCCATGCCCACAAAATGCAAATCCCATGGCAAAGCTGCTGCCTGGGTGGCACCACAACTGCAAGAGATTCCCGAGCTCGGCAAATTTCAGATGCCATTGAGTAAGTGAGCTGTTTTCCCCTCCTCTATTATTTAATTAGAAAGTAGCACGTCTCTTGCTGTGTTTCCTCCATTCCCCTCTGCTCTAATGGATCTTGTTTTGCCTCGTGCAGAATGGCAAACAGATGTAAGAGTATACACACACACACACACACACACATGCACGCACACATAGCCCCATAAACAAACATTGCTAAGGGAGGGGGCTGCAAGCCATAACACCAGGTGCTAAGCACCTGCAGAACAGGAAACAGGATCCGCTGGATTCGGGTGGAGGGGCTGTAAGCCTGCAAACGCATCCCATCTGCTGATGCACATCCCAAGCAAAAAATAAGCCCTGCGAATGTGCAACTGCACCGAAGCACATTCATCCCTCATCCCCCCCTTTTTCTTTCTCTCCTCTTCGGCTTCTTCCCACGCTTGAAATTGAGATTGCAAAGTCCTAGGGGCAGGGTGCTGTCTTTTTGTGCTCTGTAAAATGAGACTCACACCAATGGTGCAGTATAAAACAAAGAAAGTAATGAGTTATTACTACTACTACTACTAATATCATAATTATTATTATTATTAACCTGCCCTTTACCCTAAAGTCCTAGAGAAGGTTACAATAATTTAAAATAGGGTTTAGAACCGTTCAAAAACTTTCAATTAAGAGTGCTGTTAGGAGACCCCTGTTCCCACGACAGAGCCACAACTCCTAGAAAGGCTTAATAATCCATCCCTCTTCCCAGGGAACTCTGGGAATTGTATCTGCAGGAGGGGAACAGGCATCCCCTAACAATGCTCAGCATCTGTAACAAACCACAGTTCCCAGGATTCTTTGGGGTAAGCCATGACTGTTTACCGTGGCACCATGCTGCTTGAAATATACAGCGAGGAGGGGGCTTTTCTCTGTCCCACCCCTTCATCTTGGGCCTAACCCACCCACGGGGGTGCACCCATGCGGGCCAGAATATCTTGATGACACAGCACTGTTGTGCCGAACCTCTTTTCGCCTGGGGCTACAGCTGTTTCACTGAAGCGCAGCCAATGTCTGTTCCCTCCTGGCCTCCTCTGCAACCTCTCCCTGCTTATCTCCTCTCGCTATCTAGGTTTGTATGCCGCACCCCATGGGGCGCTATCTGGCTTATTACACAGCCCCTGTTTCCCTGCAAGAGAGCGGGAAAGCAGCAGACAGAAGGAGGCGAGGTGCCACTGGCTAGATCAGGCCTGGGAAAGCAGGTCACTCGGGAGCTAGATCTTCCGGTTCCTCCTCTGACTCAGCTCGGGTGCAAGACGATGCCCGCGGGAGCCTTCAGTGTTGATTAATGGCAGTGCCAAAATAAAATAATAACCATGTAGCAAGCTCCTGGGTGAGCAAGGCAGAATGAAGCCTGGGACACAGCTTCCAGACTTCGCCAAGGTCACTGGCGGTCCTGAGCCAAGGAACAACGTTCCAAGAAAGGCTGCTTCTTCATGCCCACTAAAAAAAACATTTTCCCCATATCTCCTATCCATGCTCCAAGCACCAGCCAAGCCATGTCTCCTTGCACATGGGATCTCAGATGAAGAAAAGCAAAAATGCAATGGGATGGTGCATGTTTCCAATGAGATTTGGTGGGTTTCGCTCAGGATCTGACAGATGCAGCTGGGTCAAATTCTGCTTCTCCCTCTCTTTCCCCACATGGCAAAGTACCAAAGCAGGCTTTGCCACAGTCTAGGCTTAGCAGAGAGCTGAGGCCAACCCTGGCTCTCCAATGGGAATACCTTTATGATGCACAAGTTTCCAAACGCTTGCTGGGTTCATTCATACACTACTCATTTAGGCAAACGCTTAAAAATGTTGCCCGCTTTTGAAAATGAATGATTCAATGCTTGTCCAGTTCTCAAGCTCATTTCTCCATCAGCCACAGCAGAGAACCAACTATAGAAGATGAGACAAGACCACACTGGTTTGTTCTGGTTCCAACCAGTACTTGCTCCCCTCCAAGTCTAGACATTTGCCTCTGGCTGCACCAGGGCTGGTGGGTTCTAGCAAATCCCATGAGAAGCAAAACACACACATGTTCAATGCTATCCCATAAACAATGGCATCTAGTTGTATTTTTGGAGTGTGCAAGGGAAAAAACACACAGTTGTCATATCAACAGAGTTTTTTCTATATTTAAGGTAGTATTTCCACATCTACTGATCTACCAAAGAAGTACTGCACTCCAAAGGAATCTGCTGTAGATTTCTAGCTCACTGCAGAGGATTCTGGGGGATTGTTCAAAGGGCCTACAATCTAACCCAGTCTAAGTTAGTAGCTGCCACCATAAGAACTTAAGATGAGCTCTGCTGGATCAGACCAATGGCCCATCTAGTCCAGCATTGTGTTCTTACAGTGGCCAACCAGGTACCACAATGAGAAGTCCACAAGCAGGATATGAGTGAAGCAGCGTCACTCTCTGCCTCTGATAATTGAGGCGACAGGAAGCCATGATGGGGAGTAGCCCAAGGATAGGCTTTATGCTCCATGGATCTCCTTTTACACTTGAGCTCATCCTATTTAAACCAAGAGCAAAACCTAGGCGTTCTACATCTGCAAGGATAACAGTGAAAAAGCTGTATTTTGGACAGATAGGTCCCTATTACTGATCTTTACATAGGCAAACCTCTGGTGAACTTCCAAAGAACCTCAAGGCTCAGCAGAATACAGTTTGAAATCCATTGGCCAACTTGGAAATTGACCAACTGAGCAGACAACTCTTAACAATGAACACGCAGAAACACATGAAAGCATTTTATGTGGAGCCAGGACACTGGCCCGTCCAACTCAGCATGGGCTGCCCCAACCTTCCTCTACCTGCTATTTTTCAAATGTTGTTGGACTCAAGGATGATGACGTTGTAGTCTAAGAACATTTAGGGGGCAACAGGTTGCGAAAGGCTGGCCTACTCTGATGTAGAGGTTCCTAGGGTTTCAGCAGTCAACAAACTTCCCAGGTCTGTTACCTAAGAACAGGGCTCCCCAAACTCAGCCCTCCAGCTGTTTTGGGACTACAACTCCCATCATCCCTAGCTAACAGAACCAGTGGTCAGGGATGATGGGAATTGTAGTCCCAAAACAGCTGGAGGGCTGAGTTTGGGGATGCCTGCCTAAGAACATAGGAAGCTACTCTATACTACAGTCAGCGCACTGAGTGCATCTCACTCGACATGGGTGGCAATGACTTGTGGCAATTCTCTGGGGCTTCTGGTGCAGGGGTCTCTCCTAGTCTTACCAGGAGATGCCTGTGATTGAATCTGGACACAACACAGAAGCTCTGTCGCTGAGCTGCAGCCCTTCTGGCAAAGACACAAATTGAACCAGAGAATTTCTATGTGCAAATCCCAGGGATACCTAATTTGGGCTGGCTGGAGGCAACCTTCTGTTGGCTCCTTTTGCCATCCCTTCCCACTCTCACCATGCATCAGTTTTTGCCAATTCCATTCCTCAACCCGAATCCTAGTCATCCTCCAAAATTGTCCTCCCAACCCTCTTCTCTAGACTGTAACAACCCCCACCAATTCCACATACTGCATTAGTGGCTCATCCTCCCTTGCTGGCCTGGCCTGGGCTTGCTGCTCCTTGTCCCACCTCCCTTCACCTCTGCCCTGTCCATCTTGCTTAACCTTTAAGTCCTCAGGGCAGGACTAGCATCATGTCTGCATCATACTTAGAGAACCTCATGAAATTCAAATGGAGCTCAGGAGATCATTACCTTTGGGCTTTGCCCAGAGGCTCCAGCTCCTGCAAACATGCTGAGACAAGACGATTGATGGGGACAGACTATCGCCAGCACCTAACACTGCTTCTCAAAAGCTTGCCCTGGCTGCCATTATACTATCAGGCTGGGTTCAAGGTTCTTCTATTAATTTAAAAAGGTAAAGGACCCCGACAGTTAAGTCCAGTCGCGAACGACTCTGGGGTTGCAGTGCTCATCTCGCTCTATAGGCCGAGGGAGCCGGCGTTTGTCCGCAGACAGCTTCCGGGTCATGTGAACAGCATGACTAAGCCACTTCTGGTGAAACCAGAGCAGTACACAGAAACACCGTTTACCTTCCCGCTGGAGTGGTACCTATTTATCTACTTGCACTTTGGCGTGCTTTCGAACTGCTAGGTTGGCAAGAGCTGGGACCGAGCAACAGGAGCTCACCCCGTCAGAGATTCGAACCACCAACCTTCTAATCAGCAAGCCCTAGGCTCAGTGGTTTAGACCACAGCGCCACCCGCATCCCTGATTCTATTAATTTACACGGCCCTTAGTAACCATTCCAGATCTCTTACATCCCCATTGAATCACTGAGGCCTTTGGGGGAGTCACTGTATGTGGTCCCCCATTGCTCAGATGCATGGCTCCTAACCAGTGTTAGAAACTCAATATATATAAGCTAGACTCCTTAAACTAAGGCTGCAGTCAACAAAACATAATGCCTAGTTGCCATTTGGAGGCAAAACAGCTCTAAAGCCTTATTTTTCAAATGATGGGCTGATTGTGATTGATTATCAGTTAAGCATCTGGCTAGTTCAGATGACAACCTTGAGCTGGGTTAAGAACTTTGAGTACTTAAACAAGAAGAGTTACTTTATCCAGGGACAGTCCACCTATCCCAACCTCTTTTTTCTTAATGGTGACTGCTCCTGCTCATGTCGCACAGAAAAAGCAATGTGGTTCCAGAAATTCCTTCTGACTGTGCAGACAAGTTATAAGTGATAGAATTCTACATTAGTGTGTGAAACAGTGTGCATTAGTGGCGCTTAGGATGCGGGTGGCGCTGTGGGTTAAACCACAGAGCCTAGGACTTGCCGATCAGAAGGTTGGTGGTTCGAATCCCCGTGATGGGGTGAGCTCCCGTTGCTCACTTCCTGCTCCTGCCAACCTAGCAGTTCGAAAGCACATCAAAGTGCAAGTAGATAAATAGGTACCACTCCGGCAGGAAGGTAAACGACATTTCCGTGCGCTGCTCTGGTTCGCCAGAAGTAGCTTAGTCATGGTGGCCGCATGACCCGGAAGCTGTACGCCGGCTCCCTCGGCCAATAAAGAAAGATGAGCACCGCAACCCCAGAGTCGGCCACGACTGGACCTAATGGTCAGGGGTCCCTTTACCTTTACCTAGTGTGTGAAATCAGTCCAGGTCCAAGGATCCCCAGATGGTGGAGATGTCAGGTGCCATCTTGGTGCCCATACATCTTCACTTGGTCTCAAAGTGGTCAAAAGGCTGGTGCAAAATGCACCTGGCACCTGGCTAATTTCAAACACTGCTCGTATCTAGCAGCACGGTGGGCCCAGTTCTCAGGAACGGTTGAGGTCAGACGGGCCCTGTCCCTGTTGAACTTCCAGTGCTTACTGAATAATTTGTTTAAGAATAACCAGTTGGATCAGGCCAATTGCTCATCCAGTCCAGCTGTGTTCTCACGGTGGCCACCCAGATGTCTGTGGGAATCCCTCAAGCAGCACCTTCCTCCAACAGGCTTTTAAAATGTCACCTCCTCTGTCAACATCCAGACTGTAAACTCGTTGGGGCAGGGACCTGCCTTCTGCTTATGCCACGCTGTAAAAGCCACAGCACCAAGATGACATAAATAACCATCATCTTCTAACTGAGCTCAGTGCTGAAAGTTCCCAGTGACTCCCTGACAGGAACACACCCCACCGCTGTCACTGACAAGGCCTGGTGTTATTTTGACCTCTGCATATTAATCAGGGATTAACATGAGGTGGGGATCAGCCCTCAAACCTGTTTTACTTTCCTCAGCACTGCCCTGGAACATGGGAAGTAATGATGATAATAATACAGGATGGACCCTGAGCATGTGCAAAGTGCCTTTCCGCATACCAATCAGTAAGCAAAGCTGGTTCTTTTGCTGAAAATTAAGGGCACTTGCTTCCAGGCAGGGCTGCGTTCCAGCATCTCTCTGAATTAACTACTGATGATAATCACTTATGGTTTGTTCAGGAACTTGAAAGAGTGTGTTTATTTAGTGTTGGAGCCCAGCGTTTTCCCAAGGCTCCAAGGAGGTGACAATTTCCCTTGTGCTGCTTATAACAACTGCAGCAACAGCAAACAACTGCCACCTTTCCTTGCAAGGCCCTCAAAATGATGGCCAGGGAAACTGGGGTGAAGAATTCCACTCTCCCCTGCAAGACTGCAAGTTCTTGTAGGAGCTGGATCTGAGCTCTGAAGCTCCAAGGGTTAAGGCTAACTGTTTTGCTGGGTCAGTGGGACCCATCGGACCCCCAACCGTGCACACACAATGCAGAGACAGCCTGTTTCCCTTACTCAGCACATCTCATGCCCAGGCCTCACCACAAGCCTCTACTTGTGTTGGAAGGGATGTGTAAACCCAACTTCAAAGGAGGGAGGAGGGGAGAGAGGAAATAAATGCAGCTGTCAATTGAGTCTTACAGTCCAGGGGAGATCCTAGCTAGAAGGTCCTTTTGGCTCAAAGTGGAACACCTATGCAGGAACTCCAATCCCATCTTTTTTAAAATATCTGGAATCTGCTTTTTGCCTCCATTCTACCATTTTACTGCTGTTGATGATGAAGTTTTCTGCTGCGCATGATACTGGCTTTTTTAAATCTCTGCAAACACAGGGACCTTTTTGGTTTTTGCAGGCTTGTTCCTAAATTCCTAGTGCATCACCTATACCAGGATATTCACTGATATTATTATTATATTGTATGGTTTTCACAGAGTGGCCCAAAGCAACTTCCATTAAAACCAATAGGATGGAGAGGTGCAGACACACAGTAGAAAGTGGCAGTGTAAGTCACTTGGAGATCTTTTAGGTAACAAGCGATTGGCAAGTTTAATTAATTGCAAGAACTTTGCTGTGATTTCTGCATTGCAGGGGGTTGCAGTGATGAAACTTTGCCCGTCCCCAGTCTTGCAAGTCTATGAACAGTCCACTGTCTCTCGAGACAGACAGAGAAGTCATCTTCAAAACCATCACACATTCTTAGACAGACTGTTGGTCTGCTCCGAGTGCCATGAACAGTGCTTTCCCCCATTGTACCCATTTCCATGACAGGCAAGTAACAAAATTTTTCCTCTTTTTTAAAAGCTTCTTTTTAAGAGCATCGCGCCCAGCAGCCCTGAGCGGTTTGTCATCTTGCACCCCCACCCCACTCCCGGATGTTTCAGAGTATTAAATAGTCAGACCTGCGTCTCGAGTCATCCAAACGTGCCACAGCCTGCTATAAACTCTGCAAGGGAAGGGAAAGTACGCGGGTTGCATCATAGATTGCAGAAGGCAGATCCGCAATGGGTACTTGAGCCGAGCACACTAAAGGCACATTTACGGAACAGGATACAGTACTGCTTTTTTTTCTTAAGGGGATCTTCCATCACTTTTATGGCATATATATATATAGATCCCCTTTATTAGCACAAGAGAAAAAAGCAAATATTGTAATAAGGAGCGGCAGGCAAAACCAATAAGTAGTGAGAGTAATATATCTATATCCCCATATTAAAGGGATGCATATGAACAACATGAAAGATACTGCGGAGAAAACACTTAAAGACAGCCTGATGATTCCATTGCAGCCCGTCTGGTAAGAGAAGGCAGATTCACTCTGTCCAGGGCATCAGGCCAGGAAATAAGGGGGGGTGGGGAGCAAGGTGAATTAAAAGCGCGTGCTTTTGACCTAGGAGAGAACTGAAAACAATAATCATGCACTCTTAAATCTCTTCTCCCTTTCCCCCCACTCCCTAATGTGCAAGATTTCCACACCACAAGTTTCATCATATGCATATAAGCATCACCTCCCTGCTACTGTTAACTGCTGGACACCCCAGCTGCAGGAAGTTTCCAAAGCAAAGGTCTCTTTCTCCTCAGCTGCTAGCACTAGCTTTTCTTGAAATACAAGTGGGGTTCCTCCCACCGCACCCCAGAATCAAGGAAGGGAGCTAATAGATGAGCCTGCTATATCATAACCAGGAAATGCCATAGAAATATATCATTCTGCTCCTGAAACCAGATGTGGTCTTAACTGCCCTTGTGAGCTAAACTGCCACAGACATCAGCATCTACGGTGCTCTGAGACACATGCCAGAATGAATGAATGCTCAAAGTGGCACAATGTGGACTAGCATGATGCTGCAACACAGCCACATGAGGCCTTTGGAGTAAACCTTCTGTCCTCATCCACAACTGAAACAAAAGCCTAAGGAAGTGGGATTTATTTTACTATCAGAATACAAACTACACCTTTCTAATACATAGGTATAAACAATTGCTCACCTAAGTAACTACACTTGCTCACAGTCACTCTGTTAGCTTTGCTTCTCCCCACTTCTCTCTTCTTTCTTCCCCACCCTCGCCTATCAACATTTACACTGTAGGCTCCCTGGGGCAAGGACTTTTTCCTCATATAAAACTTACAGCACCATGTATGTGGATGGTGTTGTCCAAATGCAAAAAAAAGAAAGAAGAAGCAGGAGATTTGGGTGCTGGGAAGAGAATTGAAGAGTGACATCCATGACTAAATATGGGATAGATGCATTGTAATACTTTGCTCCCATCAAACTCTTGGAATGCATATCTGCAAGCAGAAACCTCTTCACTTCAAGATTCTGCAAATAGCTGTGTGAAAACCCCTGAGAACTTTATTCAAATTTAACATATGCAGTTCAATTCCAAGTGGCATTCTGGTCCCAGATATCCCATTCAGCTACTGTATAGATAAACCAATGCGTGTGTTTGAGTAGGCAGATTTCAGTGAATTTCTTGAGCCTAGGAAGCAACAGTTAAAAGCTTTTGGAACACAAACATCACACACTCCCCACACCACACCCCCACTCTTAAACACACAATATTCCCGGAAAGCATGCTTGCATAATATTGATTCTTTTTCCTTGGCAAGGAAGTTGGGGGGGGGGGGGAGAGAGACAGAAAGAGAGAGATTTCAAAACCGTGGGTGCATGTGTTAAGTATTTTATTAAGCTACCAAGACATAAAGATATATATATTTGGAAAGTAAGAGCCCACTCAAGATTACTTCATGGATTTGATTCCATTCACCAAAGTTTACAGAAAAAATGTGCTGAAGTTTTGGGGAGCATGGAGTTAGAAGGGATCCCCTCAACGCAAATTCTGACAACACCAGTGTCTCACCTGCTGGCCTCCAGTCCTGAGGTTCAAAATACTTTTTAAAAAAGTAACCCTACCTAAATCATCCACCTGCCTCTGGAAAACTAACATCCACTTTAGAGGTCCATCATATTCCCAGTACCTCCCTCTTCAGATTTTAAACTTATGATCCGAATCCTCTTCTCCCGCCACAACTCTGGGATTGGGACAAGAAAACCAGCTTTCAGAGCAGCCTCTCTTTCAATGCAAGGAACACTAGGGACTAGCAGCTTAAAATCCTCTATGGAAGGAGTTCCAAGGCAAAGACTCCCTTTCCATCATGAACACAGCTCGTTCCTGGGGATCGCCTCCTATGAGATACTGTTATGCCACCTTGCTGGCCCTAGGTGAGAAAGGATGGGGTCACTACCAACTGCTGTGTGCTTTGAAGACTCTGGATCCCACTTCCTACTCTCCCCGTAGCTTCCGCCCATCCTCAGGCCTCAGTTCAGCCTGCCCCCTGCTGTACCAGCAGCAGCAACACCGCTACAGAGAGCCAAGCCAATAGACCTCTTTGCCAACTGCCACTCCGGCGGGCACCAAAAAGCCAGCAGTGAACATGGACTCGGAACAGGCTCCCACCACAGCTTTCCTCCAGCGACCCAGCTGCTTGCAGAAGGAAAACCCCTCTGGGTTCTCCGGCCCCTTGCAAACTGTGGGCACTCACTTCCCTGCACATTTCTGGAACTGAACACTCAGTGGTAGCAGCAGCAGCTGTATCCTCCCAGAGCATCTTTCCCCTTTTATTGCCCGCTGCAGTGCTCCCTCTCCAAAAGGCAACCCCTCCCACTGCAGCACACACACACACACACACACACACACACATAGCCCCTTCCTACCCCTGCAAGACAAGCTGGGCATGGCAGACCTGGGGGCAGTGATACACACACTTGCACATCTTCCTTGCAGGGCAGCCAGTTGCCTCCACAGCCCAAAGAGTTAAACCTCCCAACAAGACCTCCCCCAAAAACCACACTTGGATTTCCTCCTGGAAGACGGTTTTCCATTAAGGGCGCTGACACCCAACAGCTTGGACTTCCCGTTTTTTCTCCAAGCCTCTGTCTCCAGCCTCCCCAGGAATCATCCTGCACAGCCACCTTGTGTCTTCTCGGGATGTGTGTGTCCCCCCACCCCAATCCACAACTGGATTAACCCACTGCGTGCAAAGCAAACAAAAGCACAAAGAGGAGGGTTTTTTTTTCTCTTTTCAGTTGGGGAAGAGTGGGCAAGCTGGGTCAGCTACCCAGCTGGGCGCAGGAAATTAAAAAGAAAAAAAGACAAGATCGTACCAAGAGACAGCACCTTCCCCTTTTCTGCTTCCTACCAAGAGTCAGGCATAAAGGAGAGAGTTGCAGGAAAAGGGTGTATATTAGGGCATCTGTACCCTGCTGGCTGGGCATCTATCAGAACCAAGACGTATTCTGTCAAGGGTGGGCGATGGAAGAAGAGCGGCGTTCTCTACCTGACGCTTTGGACCCGGAGGAGATCACACCTAGGGCGTTGGAGGGCACAATGCTGGAGCAAGCTAGCCTTCCCAACTGCTGCGCTCTGGCAAAACCAGGGTAGCACTCGTGCCCTGTAAACCCAGCAGGTGAAGGGAGCTGGTAGTACCTCAGGTGGCCAAGACTGGGTTTTTATTTAAAAAATAAACAGGCACTGGCTGGCAGGAGCCAGCCTGGCACCCGCTGGCATCCAATGCCCAGCGTCTTTAATACCCCTTTCTTTCCCCATGCCACCAGGACAGCTGCCCACCCTCTCGCCATACTCGTGCCACCACCATCACCTGCTCCAGACCGAGGCAAACCTTTCCTCCAGTTGCCCTGCTCAACTTTCTCGGTCTCCTATACAGAGATCCCGAGACACACAGAGACCCAAACGCTCCAAGGTAGCTCCACCGGAGAACCATCGTTCTTATGAGAGGCACGAAAAAGAAGAGAGCGTCTTGTTCAGACGATCGCTCACCTGGGACGTAGGAAAGCGCCGTTAAGCAAACTCCGGTAGTCCACCAGCCCGCAAACCAGCCCTTCTGCAGTTTCCCGGCCATCGGGGAGAGAGTTCCTTAGGTTGCCTGGTTGGCGATTCAAACAAAGACGAAGCGACGCCGAAGGTGCGGATCGATAAGCGAAGAACCCCCCACGCTAGTAGCATCAATCGGATCCGCTGCCAAAAAAAGGGCGGCCCTTTAAAAAATAAAATTACGGGTCCCGGAAAGGGCTAAAGGGGGAGTACAATATCCACCAGAGGAAATCAAGCCACACACGCCCCCCAAGTTGCTTGCCGAGATCGCGCCCTCAAAGCTCTCCTTTCCTGGGGCGGTCCTTGGCGACCCAGCCGCTTGCCAATCGCCCCCTGCGCTCTCCAAGGCCAGCCCAGTCCGGTCGTCTCCTCTGGGATCGGGGGCCAAATCTGGCACAGAAACGAGGAGGCAAGCACGGAGGGCGAGAAAGGAGAAGACCGCCTCCTCCTGGGCTGCTTAGACCGGATCCTGGCGACAAGTCATCTCCCGATGCTCCGGACACCAGGGATCGGCTTTGCCCCGCTTTCTCTCCCTCCTTTCTCTCGCTTCCTTCCTTCCCTCCCCCCTCCTCTCTCGCCAGCCACCGAGCCGGATCCCCCGTGGCTTTGGGGCTTTTCTGGGACTGAAAAAGAGAGCGAGCGCGGTCGGATCCCGCGAGCACGTTGCTGTTGCTCCTATTGCTGCTGTTGCCGCCGCCCGGCGATCAGAGGGCCCCGGCGCGGAGCAAAGTGCTCCAAACAAGCTCCATGTCTCGCAGATCCCAGCTTTCGGCGAACCCCACGGCAGGCGGGAAGGAGGAGGAGAGGCGGCGGCAGCAACGGCGGCGTCGGATCTCCGCGATTGGGACTGGCGAGAGCACTCCGAGGAGGCTGGAGCGGCGAAGAGGGCGGAGAAGGACGACGAGGAGTAGGAGGAGAGCAGCGGCTCCTCGCTGCAACATCAGCACCGGCGAGAGGCGCCTCCCTTTCTCTGGGCAGCCTCGGCTTGCTCTGAGCTGGAGCAGGGTGGCCAGCCGGAGAGCCGCGGCGGGGGCGCGCCTGCGCGTGCACCCTCACCCGCAAGCGCGTGCGAGAGAGAGAGCGCGAGGAGAAAGGGGGAGAGGAACGGAGCGCGCGCGCTCTCTTTCACATACACACACAACTCCCACCGGAGCCCCGCCGCTGGATCCCCGGGCCCGCCCCCCGCCGCTGTGATGTCACAGCATGCAAAACAGCAGGCGGGGCGCCGGCGTTAAGTCTCCGCGAAAGGGGCGCGTGCGCAGTGCCGCGCGTTCCTCCGGCGTCCGTCTGGTGCGGTCGGAGAGGCTTGGAGGAGCGGCTGCACGCTTCCCGCCACTCCCCCTCCTGCCCCCCACGCGGTTCGTCTTTTCCTCCTTGCCCCTGCGGTCCTCCCCTCCGTCTTTTCCCACTGCTGCATGGTCCATGGGCACTAGCCCAGTGTTGTCGACACGGGCTGGCAGCGAGCGGCGGTCCCGGGTTTCAGATCAGTCTTCGGCATTTCCCACCAGGAGACAGGGTAGTAGGGGAAGCTGTGGCGCGCCAGGACTACAACTCCCATCACTCCTGAGACTCGGCAGTGCTAGCTGGGGCTGATAAGAGTTGGAGTCCAGCAACAGCTCAAGGGTCATCACCCGTGTCTGTCTGGAGAGGACAGGGATTGAACCTGGACCTTTTATATGCGGGCCGCGTGCTGTACCACGGAGCTACGGCCATTCTTATTTATTCCTTTATCACCTTCCTCCTTTGCTTTCATACCCCACTCCCCGCTATATTTCTTGACCTTTTCCTCTCTTCCCCTGCCCTTCTGGGTCTGATCCAGACCCATAGTGAAACACTTTGAACTGAAGCCCTTCTGGTACTGTATTGAGACCCTCCTAGATCTCTCTCATTGGAGTGGGGACAGCGCTGGCTCAAAACGGAAGGAATGGATCCAAATGGGTGTGTTTAAAGGAGGAAGAGAAGTGTGCGTGATCCCTTTCAGAGTTCTACTGGTAAGCTCTCGCTATGGTCCTCTGCTGTGCTTGTGAGCTTCCCAGGGGCTGCTGTTAGAGATGGGATGTGTGAATGGATATTTTCCGAAGAGGGGGCTTGGTGGTGGTGATAGGGTGGAAGGCAAGGAGCCTAATCATAGGCTGAGACACAGCCAATCGCAAGCAGAGCCAACTAATTCTAGTTTAATCCCATCTTCTTCCTCCCTGCTGAGTTCCACAGGACAGTAATGGGACTTAAGGAAGATGAAGCTGGGAGGCAGCCCTAACCCAGGGGCTGTCTGGATAAAAGAAGGCAGGCAGGTAGAGGCTGGGTCAGGTGGGGCAGAGCCGTAACTGAACAGCTTCCGCCAGTGGACACAGAGTTAAACCACAGCATCATTTGGTCAGTGGAATGGAAAATAAAACTGCCAACATGATAATGCCATTATACAAATTTGTGGTGCAGCCTTATTTGTGTACAGTGGTACCTCTGGTTAAGAACTTAATTCGTTCCGGAGATCCGTTCTTAACCTGAAACTGTTCTTAACCTGAGGTACCACTTTAGCTAATGGGGCCTCCCGCTGCTGCCGCGCCACCGCAGCACAATTTCTGTTCTCATCCTGAAGCAAAGTTCTTAACCCGAGGTACTATTTCTGGGTTAGCAGAGTCTGTAACCTGAAGTGTCTGTAACCTGGAGCATCTGTAACCCGAGGTACCACTGTACACTTCTGATCTCCTCTCCTCGAAAATGGCACCATTGCAAAAGGTTCAGAAAAGGGCAGCCAAAATGATCAAGGGGATAGATAGAGCAGCAGCTCGCCTATGAGAAAAGACCTTGGGGGCTTTCTAGTTTAGAGAAAAGTGAGTAAGAGTTGTGTGACGTTGAGAGTCCCATGGACTGCAAGAAGATCAAACCTATCCATTCTCAAGGAAATCAGCCCTGAGTGCTCACTGGAAGGACAGATCCTGAAGCAGAGGCTCCAATACTTTGGCCACCTCATGAGAAGAGAAGACTCCCTGGAAAAGACCCTGATCCTGGGAAAGATGGAGGGCACAAAGAGAAGGGGACGACAGAGGACGAGATGGTTGGACAGTGTTCTCGAAGCTACCAGCATGAGTTTGACCAAACTGCGGGAGGCAGTGGAAGACAGAAGTGCCTGGCGTGCTCTGGTCCATGGGGTCACGAAGAGTCGGACATGACTAAACGACAACAACAATGAATAGCGTGGAGAAAGTAGATAAGGAAAAGTTTTGCCTCGTCTCTTGTAACACCAAAACTCAGAAACATCCAATGAAGCTGAATGTTGGAAGTTTCAGGACAGATTTCAGGAAGAAAGCACTTCCTATAGACCAGGGTTTTCCAAACTTGGCTCTCCAGCAATAGCAGAACCAACAGTCAGGGATGATGGGTATTGTTGGAGACTCAAGTTTGGGAAACTCTGCTATAGAGCATAGTTAATCTAGGGAACTCACTCCCACTGGTGGTGTTAGGGGCCACCAACTTGGATGGCTTTAAAAGAGGATTGGGCAAATTCATGGAGGAGAAGGCTATGGATGGCTACTAGCCACAATGGCTGTGCTCTGCAGTCAGAGGCAGTGGTGCTTCTGAATAACAGTTGCTGGAAGCCTCAGGAACGGAGAGCTCTTGCACTCAAGTCCTGTTTGCCGCTTTTCCACAAGCATTTGGTTGGCCACTGCAAGAACAGGATGCTGTAATAGAAGCCCTGTTCTCTAAGCTGAAACAAAGGTGTCAGGACCAAGCAGGGCTGCTGGAACCATGAGTTTGTGTGTAGCTGCCCTATGTGGTGCCCCATGGAACTCCAGTTTGGAGCATCTTACTGGGCAGTGAAGTTTTCTTGGGTTCTGGACTGTCCACACCCAGGCTATCCATTACTTTTCATGGATCTGAGGATGCATTTTGGAGTGTGGCTCAACTCTCGACTCCCCTCTGATCATAGCTGTCAACCTTCCCTTTTTCCCCAGGAAATTCCCTTATTCCAGCACTGCTTCCCACTTCTATCCCGGATTGTTAGATATCCCGTAGACTGTCCCCAGAACAGGTGAGGCTGCTGATCCCTTATTTTCGAGGCTGCTGATCCCTTATTTTCAAATCTGAAAGTTGACAGCTATGCCTCTGATAGCTGTTAATGGCTATCAGTCTCCCAATATTAGGGGAAGACAACTGACCAAGGATTGTGGCACTGCATTGGCTATCTGGTGTCACCTGCCTTAACAGATCAGGAAGTGTTAAGTGGAACTGCATTTCCCTTCATTGGTTTCCATCATATACTGGGTGCTCAAGGAAGCTTTTTTTGCACCTCCAGCACCTGAGAGCCCCTTTTCCCTATCACCTTACAATGCAGGAATAGGGAAACTGTAGCTCTCCACGTGTTATTGGACTCTAAACCTATTTTTTATGTATTTAACAAAGTGTATATAACATTTGATTGTAGCAAAAACCGCCAGACAGTTTGCAAGAAATAATTGAGGTTATCAAACAAAACACTTAAGAACAATTAAAACATTCACATTTAATTAAAATCTGCAGTGGAAGATTAAAACACGTTGACACCTACGTGGCTGGATAGGCTTGCACAAACAGAAATGTGTTAATCAGGGACCAAAAAAAGAGTGCAGCAAAGGAGATTGCTTGTCAATAGGCAGGGAGTTCCAAAGTTTGGGGGCCATTACACTAAAAGACCAATTTCTTACAAGTGTAGAATGAGTATTATGGAGTACCTGTAACTGTGCCTTTTGTGCTGACTGAAGTGGTGGGGTGGGCACATATAGGGTAAGACGATACTGCAGGCAGAATGGTCCCAAGCCACTAAGAACTTTATATACTAATAGTAACAACTGGTAACAAATTAGCAAGCTGTGCAATTTTCCAAGCAGATATACCATATACTTACAGGGTCTCACTCCTTTCAGTAACCAGGCTGCATCATTCTGCAGTAACTGCAGTTTGTGGGTCAAGTGCAAGGGAAAACCCCCACACTGAATGCATTGCAGACTACAACTCCCCTCATCCATTGTGTCATGCTGTCTGGGGCTGATGGGAGCTGGAATCCAAAAATATCTGGTTCCCCTTTTGTGAAAAGTTTCCCAGTTAGGAGAAGTAGCGCACCCACATTCGTTCTTGAGTTGTTAGTGGGCTTTTATTTTTTGCGAATGCAAAAAAAAAAGAGGTGTGTGTTATTTATTCTTGCCCAACAAAGCCTCAGTCTCCGATCTGTAGCAACTTGGGCAATGACAGTGAGGCACAAAGACGTAAAGAACAGCCGCCGTCACCACGCCGGCTAGAAAGTCATGTTGATTTCAAGCACCATTAGAAGCAGCCCAGAAAGAAATCAATGGCTGGCAAACAAGAAAAGAGACAATCAGATGGGGAGGGTGTCATACACAATGGAAAATGGAGAAGGTGGAAGAGGGGGAAAGGCTATAAAAAGATGCCTTCCTGTGTCCTTGCAAGCCTTTGCTTCGTTTAGCTTGCCAGTGGTTCATCTCCGCAGACATAAAGGAAGTTTGTGGCTGAAATGACAGAAGATTGTGCTGGGGCTATCCACTCACGTAGTGAAATTGATGCAGTAGACTCCTGAGGTAGGAGGGTTCACTGCGCCACCTCGGGGGGCAGGAAGGAGCTGCCATGGCTGAATGTTCCTTTGAAAATAAGTTTACCCCCTTCCCAACACACCCTACATCAGTAGAAAGCTAGCTCATCAGGAATTGAAGTCCACTACTTTACTCCTTGCTGAGCTAATTCTCTTCTTGCAGAAAGGGACCGTTTTTGAATGCTGACTCACTTGCCATTTGCAGTGGTTCTTACCCATTCTACCACTTGATCCCGCTGCAGGTAACCAGTCCTTAGTCCCACCCAGGGGCTGATCAAGGCAGGAGGGAGACCACAGCAAAGTAGTGGGCCCACCAAGGCTAATTACTACTTTATTAGAATTTCCTCTTACTACATTAAAAAAACAACAAAAAATGTGTGTGTGTGTGTATGTATAATCTTCCTATATACATAGAAATGTAAGGCTGCCATCTCACTGCAGTTCCTGTGGCTACCAACAGGTGGCCATACCAACTCTAGCAAGACAATGGCAGGCAGCAGCTGAGCAAGCAAGTAGAATGGTGGTCAGTTGGCCTGGGCAAGCTGTTAAACAGGGTTTGTGT